TATACAGTCCATTTATTGCATTTCAGTAACTTTGTGCTTTAAAATACGAGTTTGAGAAAGTAAGGCGACGAAATGTCATTTAATTTATTTGAAACTATTCAGCCAATTCATTACAGGTGACAACTGCGCTCCGATTGGCCAGCCCGAAGTCGAAACAATTGACGGGTGTCGTCAATTGTTTCACTTCAAACGACCAGTTTATGGTACTCGTATACAGAACTTTAATGAATATTGTAGTTCTGCACACTGCATGTGTGTCAGTATAAGTAGCGAGGCGGGCGTGCACACATACAAGCCACGCTGCTAAATTTGTATGGAGTTACTTTACTTTCCTTATTATACTACGATAGTAGATCTCAGAGTCATATACGAGCGGCAATATACAAATATTTTGTGGATTTCTGTAGAGACGAAATGTCATTTAATTTGTTTTAAAACTATTCTGCCAAATCATTGACCTACCCGAATTCGAAACAATTAACGGGTGTCGTCAATTGTTTCACTTCAAACGACCAGTTTAACTTGAGCTTTGCTATAATGGACGAAAGTTGAAAAATTACATATTAGGGGTTAAAGTATGAAATTGCCGTTTTATTGCAATAGGTTCTTTGAATTTTCATAGAATCTTCATGGTTTGAGGTTTTCGAATGAAACTTTTTTCAAATGGTTCCTGTGATTTTTTTTTTTATATTTGAAAGATTTGAATATCGACTTTCAATTGTTTTTGTTATTCAATTTAGACAAGAAAGATGGATACTGCGAAAATTCGAGTGATTTTTGAATACGAGTTCCGACGCGGAACTAACGCGGCAGAAACAGCCCGCAATATCAATGCTGCGTTTGGAGAGGGGTCTACTAATGAACGCACCGTGCGATTTTGGTTTAAACGCTTTCGTGATGGAAATTTCGACTTAAAGAACGAGTCACGAGGAAGACCACCCACACAGGTGAATAACGATGAATTAAGAGAGATAGTGGAAGCCGATCCTAGTCAAACTACCCAGGAATTAGCGGCATGGTTTAACGTTACCTTACCCACAATATTGACTCACTTGCGTCAAATCAATAAAATAAAAAAATACGAAAAATGGGTGCCTCATGATTTGACTGATCTGCAGAAAGAAACGCTTGTTGAAACTTGTGTTGCCTTGTTGAACCGGTACAGAAATGAAGGAATATTGGATCGAATTGTAACATGTGATGAAAAGTGGATTCTTTATGATAACCGGAAAAGAAAAATGCAATGGCTGACCCCAGGTCAAATGCCACAACAGTGTCCTAAAGCAAAACTTACCAATAAAAAGGTAATGGTAACTGTTTGGTGGTCTCAGCATGGTGTTATTCACTATAGTTTTCTCCGATCTGGTCAAGCAATAACGGCAGATGTCTATTGTGCCGAACTCCGAACCATGTTGACAAAACTAGCAGTAAAACAGCCCCGACTCATGAATCGATCTTCACCATTATTGCTCCACGACAACGCGAGACCTCACACAGCACGAGAAACCATTTTGACCCTTCAGGAACTGCAGTTAGAAACCATTCGTCATCCTCCGTATTCACCAGACCTTGCTCCAACGGACTACCATTTTTTTCGTGATTTGGACAATTATCTACGTGACAAGAAGTTTTCTTCCCAGGAGGCAGTACAAAATGCTTTCACACAGTTTGTGCAGTCTAGATCGTCGGAGTTCTATCGCAAAGGCTTTAATAACCTTCCCATTAGATGGCAGCAATGTATAGATAATAATGGCAACTATTTTGATTAAATAAATTTGTTAAAAATTTAAAAAATAAACAATTTAGATTTTCAATACAAATCGGCAATTTCATACTTTAACCCCTATTATTTAATGTGAACGTGGGGTATTGGGAGCCTGCGGGCAATGAGAGCGGTGTTAAACTGGACATTCCCAGTGCTTGTATTTGTGCAAATGGTACTCCTATGTCTTCGTTAACGTTCGCCAAGGTTCGATCCTGTGGGCGCCCCCGTAGAACCCCGCGCTTAGTCGTATTAGATGGTTATGTGTTTTTCGCTCCGTGCTTATAAAATTTGCCAAATTTCGTCATCACAGGTAAGCATTAAAATGCATACATACTACATTGTATTTACACTAACTATGTCACCATATCTATCAAAATTTTGAAGTTATGCTTGAAATTACAATAAAAATAGAAATGTTTTTACTGTTTTATTCCTTTTTCAATTCGATGTTACGCGGGTAATGAGAGCTATTTGGCTCTCCTTATCCCATTGCAATATTCACTGGATATTCCTCTAACACTTTCTTGTCTAATCTCATTACTTTTTAACTTATACATTTAATTAATTAAATTTTTTTTTTCAGACTGATTATATATAATGGCTCCCATTTGACATACGGGATTCTTACCGGCTCCCATTTCCCGAACTGTGGGGTAATGGGAGCGAATGATATGTTTTATTTTTACTTTTTAACCAAATATTATAGTTTAATTTCACATTTTTTCTGTGATTATCTAGTACCCAGATATGTGAAGCGTACGTTCATAAGTAATAAAAATTTAAATCGCATAAATTATTACTTTTATTATCAATTTTCCTTAGTAGGCTCCCATTCCCCCACGCTCCCCTGAATTTTGCCTCCCTTTTGCCTAATGAGTTGCCAGGGATGAATAGACCTCATTTCATCTCTATTTCTGGATAATAATTATACTCGATGTAAGACAACGAGGTTTTGCCGACTGGCCTAAGGAATAGGCCATAGACAATAGAATTTTGATTCAAAACTAAAAAGAACGCCTTTGTAATATGGTTTATGGAATTACAATTAACAGATTAAGTAGGAGTACACAAATATTTTAAGGCAAATACATACAGGCACATATGTATATGTCGGCTCCATCCTTTAAGGTCGGCAAGCACTTCGGCGTCCACGGTGTGGTTCCCGCCAGAACACACGCCGCCGCCTCGAAAGAGATGGAACATAACAACAAACACATAATATTTGATGTTATTTTTTAAAAACCAAGCGACCGCTTCAATTCTATAATAATTAATGACGCAAGAGACGACGCGAGTGCACCGCGAGACTACGTGTGAACGTGTCCTTACACGATGCGCGGGCGTGCACACATACCTACAAGCCGCGCTGCTACGTTTACATGTAGTTACCAGTTTTCTTATCACACTATGATTTTAGTTTGTGTATGTAGTGGGCAAAACCAACGAAGTACGTTCGCGCTGAGTATCTTTCACCGCAGGGTGAAATACCGTCTCTTATTTGGGAAAAATGAGCGAAAGCTAGATGTACTTACTTTCTCGTAATTCAATAAATAAATTGATGTCAAAAAAATAAGCCGCCCCAACTCTTCTCATTGTCAGTGTTAAATATTGTTTCCACTTGTTGTAGACTAATAATTATGATTTTGGATCTGGGGATCATTATTTTATCAATTATCATAACTCAGCCAATTTCACCGGAACCACTTCTTCCATATATGTGGACTGCGGAGTAGATAAATTTAAAATACAGCGATATAGTTTTTTTCCAAAAACAGGGAATATTTGGTAATGAAGAATGTTGCAAGCCATGAAGTTGTATAAGTGTGACAAATTTCAGGTCCATATCCAGGCAATAATAGACTTTGAGTAAATCACGATCACAATGAGGGTTCATTTTTACAATTTGGAACACTTCGAAGAAAACTGATGCTTGTGATATTTCCTATCTGACTGATTAAAAGATTATCACAAAAGATGAACTGCTATAAAAACGTGTTCAGGATTTGAGCACTCGATAGAAACAGTTGCCACGCCAATATGTCTCGAACGTCGCGGTTACTGTAAGTACATATTTATTTTATATCATATATTGTAATATTTATAACTAATTAAATAAAAATCAACAAGTTTAGTATTTTATTTAGGCAAACATTGAAATCCCATAAAAAATATTTCGATTTTATTATTTTTCAAGTCTTAAATTGCTACAAGTGTACATTAGCTTATATTATTGTGTGTTGTTTTTTTTTAAACATGCGGTAATCATCCATTTTTTCTCAAGCGGTAATCATCCAATTTACCTATTACCCAATTTTTCTCTAATGGCATATTAAAAGTTGTTATATATGGTTACGTAGTCACATGATAATAGAAACAATTTCTTTACCGATTTCGTGGCCGAACGGTTACCATGCCGGATTGCCACGCTAAGGTCCCAGGTTCGATTCACTGGCCGGTAGAAATATTTGTATTGCCTACATTATTTATCTCGTGAGTTTGGGTGCAATTTGTGGTTGTCTATGTGCCTGTGTCGTGGGTGCTATGGACACAACCATAGCACCCACGACTCAGGGTTTCCCTAGTGTGGGGATATGTTGAGTGTGTGCGTTATTTATTTATTATCTTCCTTTTTACTGCTTAGTGTTCTCGTGTCATGCCTCGCGCTGACGACGTCTAATTCGTTTGGAAAACGGCAGCAAGTGAGATATTTTCCTAATGGATTCCTGTTCGGAAGCTCAACTTCTTCTTATCAAGTTGAAGGCGCTTGGGACGAAGATGGTATGTAGTTAAGAAGAATGAAGTATGTTCACTAAGCCTTAGTACAGTTGTTTTGATTACATGTTATTTTATTCATGCATTCTATGACTTAGCTTTACAGTTAAAGATCTTGTTATTGATATAGTACATTAATTGTTTTCGAGAATAATATACATGCTTTATTTACACTTTTTAGGTAAATCGCCAAACGTTTGGGATACTGCAACCCATGCGCGGCCATGTTGGATTAGTGAATGCCATAATGGAGATGTCGCTACTGATTCTTATCATTTATACAAAAGAGACGTCGAAATGATGAGAGAACTTAACCTTGATTTCTATAGGTTTTCAATATCGTGGTCTAGATTATTACCAACAAGTTTCAATGATAATATAAATGAAAAAGCTGTGGAATTCTATAGGAATTTAATTGATGAAATGCTTATGTATAACATCGAACCCATGGTTACATTGTATCACTGGGATTTGCCCCAGAAACTGCAAGACATGGGAGGTTGGACTAATCCGCACATTGTTGACTGGTTTGTGGACTATGCGCGCATTGTCTTCGACCAATTCGGTGATCAAGTAAATTTCTGGATTACTTTCAACGAACCTCGCGACATTTGTCATCAAGGTTACGGAGCTAGTACTTTGGCGCCTTTGCTTAAAATAGCAGGCGTAGCAGAATATATGTGCGCGAAAAATTTATTATTAGCTCACGCCAAAACTTATCACATGTTCAATAAGGAATTCAGATCTTCAAAAGAAGCAATGGTTGGTATCAGCATAAGTGCTAATTGGCTAGAACCTGAATCACAGGAACATGCTGAAGCTGCCGAGGAGTCAAGAGCTTTCGAGGTAAATATTAATATTCTTGGCCATGTATTAAAACTTATTACTTCCTATTTTTATACAAGTGTTTCCCTTTTTTAGTAGGGCATCTACATTCACCCTATCTTTTCGAAAACGGGAGATTATCCACCAGTGGTGAAGGAAAAAATAGCGGCCAAGAGTATTGCCCAAGGTTTTTCAAGATCCAGATTACCCGAATTATCTACAGAAGAAGTAGAACTCATTAGAGGCACATCGGACTTTTTTGGGCTGAATCATTACACTACTTACATTTTGTACAGGAATGAATCTGTCTATAGTATGCACGAAGTTCCCTCAATGTATGATGATCAAGAAATTGCATTTTATCAACCCGCTGAATGGAAACCTAGTGTGGCTAAGTGGTTGAAGGTACCATGTACTCATTTTGGAATACGTTCGGACGGATACATCTTTTCTTTCTTTTCTGTTCTGTTTTCTGTTTTCGGTTCTGGCCTGAGTGTTCTGTGAAGTGACCCAGAGTGAAATGGTCTGGTACTCATATTACAGGGAATTCCCTCGTTTGAGACCACTCAATTGATGCGGTTGCCTGGCAAATTATTATTAATATACTATAAGATTTTTACACATAAAATCTTCTTCGAAATTAACGCTTCCTTCCTTCCACTTTCCATTATATAAACTTCGTTTTTCGGACTGCTTTGTAAAACAAACTAAATTAGTATACTGGAAAGAACAAAACCTTTTAATTAAATTGCGTAGTTTGACATTTACCGTAAAATTTACAGTAATATTTCGTTTTCTCCAATAAGGACGTGCCATGGGCTTTCTACAAACTCTTGACATACATCAAGGAAAACTACAATAACCCTGCTGTCTACATCACTGAGAATGGTTTTGCTACCGCTGGAGGTCTAGAAGATAACGACAGGGTCGAGTACTACTTAGGCCATCTTGATGCACTATTAGATGCTGTTGAAGAGGGATCTGATATTAGAGGTTACACTGCATGGTCTTTGATGGACAACTTTGAATGGACGGTGGGATACACGTAAGCCCCATATATTTCAACTGCCTCCGTGGCCGAACAGTTACCATGCTGGTCTGCCACGCAGAAGTCCCTGGTTCGATTCCTGGGCTGTACATTTATTTCTCTCGAGAGTTTGGGTGTAATTTGTGGTTATATATGTATGTCCATGACACCCGTGACACAATGTTTCCCTATCGCAGGGCTATGAGTGTGTGCGTTATTATTATTATTATTATTTTAATAGTATTTTATGCAATCATTGCATAATGAAGGTTTTTAAAGTCGAGTAACAAATACAAGATATTAAGAACTATTTACGTAATTATTACATACAATATTAAAATATTAAAACGCAACCAATATTTAAAGATTATTCGATATTCAAACGAGCTGTGGGCAAAGACCACTACGAAGTAGACCCCACCAAACGCATGACGAAGCCGTGGAAGACCCAGAACGAGATGGCGTGACGAATTGGACGCGTATATAAGGCCTTGGCCTGTAGCGGCGTTAAATCGCGAAGAGTGGAAAAAGGGTAGAGAGGCATTTGCCCTGCAGTGGGACAGTAATGGCTGAAAAATGAAAAAAAAAAAGGTTAAATAATCCACGACAACAAACTCAAACGAAAGCCAAACAAACGCTACGAAACAAAAACCAAAGAGATAGAATAGACATTTCTGTGATTGCCAAGTAACGCCTACATTTTAACCAATCACGAAGCAGCAGAGCGTTTCAGTAACTTTTATATTGTTTTTAAATAGTAGCGAGTACCATAGACAATAGAATTTTGGTTCAGAACTACAAAGACCGCCTTTGAGATATGGTTTATGAAATTATAATTGACAGATTAAAGTGCAGAAGTAGAAATAGTACTTTATGTGTTATGCTAAAGAGCGTTTGTACTATTAGAACCTTTAATTTACAAAGAGCCAAACGTCAGAAAACCGCGAATTCATCGATACATCTGGATATTTGCTAATTTGTAGAAAGTGACCACCTATAGTAATATAGGTACCTACATCATATAACCACCGATATTGTAGATTAAATTTATCAGCAAAATATAGGTAGGTAGAATAGCATGTAAAAGGCGAACATAACTAAAACATTTATCAGATTTTAATTTTACAACAAATGTATAGTTTAGACATTAGCCCTACCATTAAATAACGACATACTTTATTTTCAAATTCAACTGGAGATACAAATTAATAAAAAATAAGACAATGATGTACGTGAATTTACATTTTTTATTATTTTAAGTTTTACTGTTAACAGACAGAGATTCGGCCTGTACGAAGTAGACTTCGAGAGTCCGGAACGCACACGCACCCCTCGTAAGTCAGCTTTTGTTATAAAAGAGATGGCGCGCACGCGCAAATTGGATCCCTTCTACGAGCCAGATACCACGGTCATGACTATCGACGAAGGACATTGAAGGCGATTATACCGTTTGGCATTGTAAACTTTGTGAGCCGATTACACTTTCATAAAGTACGTGACATATGCGTTTAACGATCTGTTCACAATGTTTAAGTAATATTGTTTGATCACATAATATTTATAAATAAATTTAAAAGACAATTATATAATTTTTTTTATCCTACCCATACATCACTGAGATTAATAATTTAAATATTAGATTCGTTTACCTTTTTCTAAACACTACGAATACTTAACATGTTAAGTTTCTGATTATTATTTTTAATAAGTATTATTTTTATAAGTATAATTTATAAGTATAATTTCAAAATATTTGTATGTCTAATGTTTGTCCGCGCACAGCGCAACTACACTTATTTTGTAACCGTCAACGTCTAGACAGGCTGTGTTTCTACAAATAAATGACATATCAACTAACATTAAGTACTCTTTTTTGACAACTTCAGTGTCCTAAAATTTCAATAATTAAAAGGATGTTAGTTATAAATAATAAAATAAAACATATTAACAAGTAGTACACCAGTCTCATGTCTGCTTGGGTTTTTTCACGAGAAGAAATACTAGATTCCAAACTGGTGGTACGGAAAAACCGGCTTTCATGTTGAAATTTGGATGTTTTTTCATTTCAATGGCCTCTCGCAACTTCCTCGATAGAAAATGGATTTTGCAGGAATCTGGGGTTTATTGAGCTTAATTGAATGAGTAGGTTTATCATTACATGTTAGCAGGTCTGCAGACTTGTTAAAGGACGGTGCTTGACATTAACTATAATATGTTCTTTGTGTGTTGTGTTACTTTACACTTCAAAACCGGTGCTGATGAAATTACAGGCACATGGGACCTGTCAACTTATGTGTCAGGGTGACGGGAGAAGTGGCAGTGCCCCTCGGATCTTTGCGATTTAAAGCTCTGCAACTGCTATGGACAAGCGTGTCGCTTATCACCAGGCACACGACTTATTCATCCCGTCGCTTGCTATCATGTCTTTAAAATGGTCCCTTTCGATTGGCGTCACAAAAATATAGACCGTTTTTTATTTTCACATATTTGGTCGGTTAGATTCCCCCCGAAGGTGCAATATTTTTATGAAATTATGTTTCTATGAAGCAAAATATCCTATCTACAATATTTAAAAGTACTTTCCCTCTGTGTCGAATAGCCGTAGGTCAGCCTGCGTATCTCCATTCAACCATAAATTCACTAGTTAGTGACTCAGAAATATCACGAACGAGCTGGGGTCCGACGAGTTTCAACTCAAGACAACTTCAGCCAAGTTCAGCGATCACATTTCTTAGAAAAGTTTGTTCTAATTTGGAAACCAAGTATTCAAAGAATGAAACTCCGTATACACAATTTAGACACTAGCATAAATTAAGTTCTTAGTAAAATTATACAAGAATGACACACATAACTGTGTGTAATTACTGGCTTCTTTTCCATTTGTACTGACAGTCTCCTCTTGTTTATTCTCTTGCATCTTCTCCTGTAATATGCACTTTGTTACTGCATTTTTACTCTTTTCTTCGTTTTGCAAATCAGCGATGTCTGAAGACGACAAGGAGTTAAATTATGATTTCGTAAGAACAAGACTATTAGACGCAGAAACAAAAAGCTGAGACTCTAGAGATGCGCTCAACAAACCTTAGATTTTTTCCTAGTTAAATCTTTTGTCAGATTAGTGCCCGAGTGATGGGGTACGTGTAGACAGGAGTTATTGGTGCATTACATTTATTATTTTCAATGTTGATTAAGTCATCCATGTTTTCAGGTCGATCGCCAAGCATTTGGGATACCGTAGGTCATGCGCGGCCATGTTTAATTAGTGAATGTCATAATGGAGATGTCGCTGATGATTCTTACCATTTGTACAATCGAGATGTTGAAATGAACTTGGCCTAGATTTCTAAGACTCTCAATATCATGGTCTAGATTATTACCAACGAGTTTCTCTGACAACGTCAATGAAAAGGCTGTGGAATTCTATAGGAATTTGATTGGTGAAATGCTTAAATATAACATCGAGCCCATGGTCACATTGTATCATTGGGACTTGCCGCAAAAACTACAGGACATGGGAGGATGGACCAATCCTCATATTGTCGACTGATTTGTGGACTACGCGAGGGTTGTCTTCGAACAATTCGGTGATCAAGTAAATTTCTGGATAACTTTTAATGAACCTCGCGAAATTTGTCATCAAGGTTATAGATCTGGCGTGTAATTTTTGGGACACCCTGTATGTGTTAATGAGAGAGAAATATAAAATACCAGATAAATAAAAAAAACCGTTACTTACACAAGTACTATAAATAAATCGATTATATTATCAACCCATTATACATCCCACTGCTGGGCACGGGTCTCCTTTCAGGGAGTGTTTTGGACCATGCTGGCCCAATAACGTATAATAAATAAAATCAATAAGTATTTATATGTTTACGTGTATGTAATACTTAAATATGCTCCCGGACACATAATTCGAGCCACCACGCGTTTTTGCCTT